TCCCAGGAGTGGAGACACAGGCCCACCATTTGCCATGGACTGATCCATGCTGCTCTGGAACAAGGTGAAGCCTCAGAACACTTACAGTACATTGATGATGTCATTATAGGGGGGTAATACAGCTGAAGAAGTTTTTGAGAAAGGGAATAAAATAATCCAAATCCTTCTGAGAACCAGTTTTGCCATAAAGCATGTTAAGCTCAAGGGACCTGCACAAGAGATTCAGTTTTTAGGAGTAAAACGCCAAGATGGACGTCACCACATTCCAGTGGAGGTGATTAATGAAATAACAGCTATGTCCCCACCAACTAACAGAAAGGAAATGCAAGCTTTCTTAGGTGTTGTGGGTTTATGGAGACTGCACATTCCAAATTACAGTCAGATTGTAAGCCCTCTCTATCAAACAACCCAGAAAAAGAATGATTTTATATGGGACTGGAGCAATGACAAGCTTTTGAACAAATTAAACAGGAAATAGTGCATGCAGTAGCCCTCAGACCAGTTTGGACAGGGCAAGATTTTAAAAATGTGCTCTATGCTGCAGCCGGGAAGAATGGCCCTACCTGGAGTCTCTGGCAGAGAGCACCAGGGGAGACTCAGGGTCAACCCCTGGGGTTTTGGAGTCAGGGATACAGAGGATCCAGGGACCGCTGTACTCCAACTGAAAAGGAGATATTGGCAGCATATGAAGGTGTCCGAGCTGCTTCAGAGGTGATCGGGACTGAAGCACAGCTCCTCCTGGCTCCCCGACTGCCAGTGCTGGGCTGGATGTTCAAAGGGAGTGTCCCCTCTACACACCATGCAACTGATGCCACGTGGAGTAAATGGGTTGCATTTATCACACAACAGGCTCGAACAGGGAGCCCCAGTGTCCAGGAATACTGGAAATGATTACAAATTGGCCAGAAGGCAAAGATTTTGGAATGGTGCCAGAGGAAGAGGTAACACGTGCTGAAGAGGCCCCACCATATAATAAAATACCCCATAACGAGAAGCGATATGCCCTGCTTACCAACAGGTCCTGTTACATTGTGGGGAAACACTGAAAGTAGAAGGCAGCTGTGTGGAGCCCCACACAACGGGTCACTGAAGCTGCTGAAGGAGAAGGTGAATTGAGTCAGTTTGCAGAGGTGAAAGCCATGCAGCTGGCCTTGGATATCGCTGAGTGAGAAAAGTGGCCAGTGCTCTACCTCTGTACTGACTCATGGATGGTGGCAAATGCGCTGTGGGGGTGGTTACAGCATGGAAATGGAGCAACTGGCAGCACAGAGGTCAAACCCATCTGGACTGCTGAATTATGGCAAGATATTGTTGCTTGGGTAGAGAATCTGGTTGTGAAAGTACACCATGTAGACACTCATGTACCCAAGAGCCAGGCCACTGAAGAACATCAGAGCAGCCAACAGGTGGATCAGGCTTCCAAGATTAAGATGGCTCAAGTAGATCTGGACTGGCAATGTAAGAATGAACAATTTATGGCTCGCCGGGCACATGACTCCTCAGGCTATCAGGGAAGAGATGCAACATATAAATGGGCTTGTGACCGAGGGGTGGACTTAACCATGGATGCTATTGCACAGGTAATCCATAAATGTGGGACATGTGCTAGGATCAAGCAAGCCAAACGGTTAAAGCCCATTTGGTATGGAGGAGGATGGTTAAAATATAAATATGGGGAGCCTGGCAGATTGATTATATCATGCTCCCACAAACTCAGCATGGCAAAACCAAAATGCTCACAATGGTAGAAGCAGCCACCGGATGGTTGTAAAGTGATGCTGTGCCCCATGCCGCCGCCCAGAACACCATTTTAGGCTTTGTGAAGAAAGTCTTATGGCAGCATGGCACCCCAGAAAGGATTGAGCCAGATAATAGGACACATTTCTGAAACAACCTCATAGACACTTTGGCCAAAGGACATGGTATTGAGTGGATATATCACACTCCCTACCATGCACCAGCCTCTGGGAAAATTGAGTGATACAATGGGTTGCTAAAAACTACACTGAGAGCAATAGGTGGTGGAACTTCCAAACACTGGGACATGCATTTAGCAAAAGCCACCTGGTTAGTCAATACCAGAGGATCTGCCAAGCAAGCTGGCCCTGCTCAGTCAAACCTCCTACATACTGTGGATGGGATAAAGCCCCTGTAGTGCGCACTAAAAATATGCTGGGGTAGACAGTGTGGGTTATTCCTGCATTGGTGTGGTGGTGCAATTCTCACCCCTCCTTGTTGGGCTGCTTGGTGCTAGGTGTGATTCCACCCACCTCCCCTGAGCTGTACACCAATCTGTGGAGATAAGAACTGCTAGGCAGTGAATCAGAAAGTTAAGGTGTCCCTTTAACGAGCCTGGATCCTGCCCTCCCAGTTGCTTGGAAACGATTATAACAGCCCACCATCTCCTAAGGGCCTGGCACACCTGTGCCTGGGATGTGGTCAAATGGAAACAATAAGAGAGTTGCACATTCATCACCAGAATACTTCATTGTTTGAGCTGGGCATGAGCAAAAAGTATCTGACAAAAGTAAATTATCTTAGACCCTATAAACTGCGACCACAAGGGAGACCATTTGAGCTCTCCTGGATTGCAGCAGGTCTGTGACCAGCATCTCCCCTGAGCTGGGACACCTCTCAGGTATCAAAATCCTTAAGGTGTCGTCTGCTGTCAGAGCTGACGGAAGGCCAGGGTGAAGTCAACCCGCCCAAGTCTCAATTATCGCCTGTTGAGGAATGCCGAGGCATTGTGAGTATTTACTCTAAACTCGAGAGGAGGGAAATTTTACTTTGAACTAGCTTCTTTCACCCACTCTTTCTCTGCTTCCTGGTGTTTGTGGGTACATACTTCACTCTACTAGATCCACATACTTTTGATGCTATGTGTGTTTGTACATTTTGTGGTTTTGTATGCTCATGTACATATGTATAGATTTAAGATAAAGTAAGCTAGTGTGAATCTTGTAATCTTAGAATCTGTAGGTAAGACACTTTTTAGAACATTTTATGAATTATTTTGTAATGATCAAGTTATTAATAAATCTAGATTTCCTGTTAAATCATTACCGTGTTACTACTTTCATCTGCAAGGTTGGGTAAAGGTAAACCCATGCGTGGGATTACTTTTGCCCAAGGACCTGGGTGCACTTGGTGGGTAGTGCAGAAGGATGGAGAAGTCTGACGTGTGCCTCAAGGAGATTTGATTTTAGGTGAAAATAGCCAATGAATTGAACTGTCATATAACCTTGTTATTGCAATTGGTGCCCCGCAACATCCTCCTGCCACATTCAAGGTCTCCTGCTCCACTGACGGAGACAACTCTACCTCAGTCCTCCAGCCTTAAAGACTGTCATAACAAATGGAACCCAAAGTTATGCACTAAATGAACTCTAGGCATTTTGGAAGGATGGCCCATAGACTAAGGGAATGATATCTGTGAGACCTGGGAAAGGGGTGGTGATTCCTTAGAATGTATCTGGAACCTGAGCATAATGTAAATGGTATGGAATAAGGGGTGGAAACTGTCCTGGTTTCATCCAGGATAGAGTTAACTTTCCTTGAGCTGAGAGGGAGTACAGCTAGAGGACCAGGCCCAGATCAATCATTGGAGTAGTCCATATCATGTGATGTCATGCTCAGTATATGAGGGGACATGTGCCTCTCTCATTTTCCATTTCTGTTTCCCAGTTGGTGGCGGGATAGCTGGTGCAGTCGGGATCACTGCTGGGGGCAGGCTGTCTACCGGTTGCTGGTCGGTGAGCCACTGCTGTACTTTACCCATTTGGACTTACTATTATTACTGTTGCTTTGTTGCTACTAAATATTTTTTTAATTCAACTTACGAATTTTTTTTTTTTTTTTTTTTTTTTGTCCCTCCCCTATTTCTCAAGGGAAGAGGCAGGGGGGCAGGAGGAATTAAACGACTGGCCACGTGGTGACTGGCTACCCACTGAGTTCTAACCACAACAAAGAGACAAGAAGAAATGACCCCAAGGATGCGGCTTGTGCTATATTACTGCCTGCCAGCCTCAGGGCTGGAGCCTGAAGAGTAAAACGAAGAGGGGGGGAAAAGATCCTCCTCTTTCACGTGGGAGAGCAGCTGCTCCCAAGTAAGCTGCAAAGCTGCTTCTTTACCTGCATAAGAAACATCCTGCTGTAGGCCTTGGGTAATTCCCTAGCGCTTGCAGGAAGCCCTTGCCACTGCCAGCAGTGCTGGCTTAAGGAAGGGCACTGATCTCCTTTATCCCAGAGCTGCTCCCACAGTGGGACACAGGCAAGAAGGGAATAACTGGCCCTTGAACTGTTCTGCTGCTCATAGTTGAGGCCTCAACCTGCATCACTGAACAGCCCTGGGCTGAATTTTTAAACAAGCTTCAGCCAAATCTGCCCTCCTGGGAGTAGTAGGAGGTGCACACACGCTGAGCTGCTTGGTGCTGGTAACCACAAGCCCAGCTGGGAGAGGCAGTGGGGTCTGGTCCGGTAGGCTGTGTAAAAGGCTGCAAAGCCCAGCCCATTACTGCTGAATACAAATAGCCCTTCTTAATGAGTTTGGGAAAAACAATTAATTTAGGAGAGCTCACCCAGGGCAGGGGTGTCTTCATGTGTTTCAGATGAAGCAATCCAAGAGCAATTTAACTCCAGCAGGAGCAAGCAGTATGCAGGAAGGTCTTTGCCTCCTCACCTGCAAAATTCAGCTGTGAGTTTCTGACGAGATGACATTTGCACACTAGAAAATCGGTCCATCCTCAAACGTGCAGAGAGCAAAGATTGCAGGCTCCTTCCCATCCCTTCCTTAGGGCTCCTCCATCTTCTCAGCTAGGTTGAAGCCAACTCTGTATATCTAAAGGTTCTGACTTAATCTTCATCAGGAACCCTGTCCTGATTTTCTTCCTCTGTATTTGTACCCCTTTACCACATCCTCCAGGTTACTTCAGCCCAGCCTAAGCTAGCCTTGGGTAAGTGATGCTGGCCCAGATCCACTTGGAGTCTGGCCACTCCCAGACCAAACCTCTGTGTCTGGAGGTCTGTGTCCACATGTGCATGTTCTTTGCAGATTGCACTGCTGCCTCCTCCAAGGAAACAGCAGGACGTAGCTGGCCACAGCACAGGATGTGCGGGAATGGGACTTTGGTCCCTTTCCCTGCCAGGACACAGAGGGCATGGCTTCTGCCCTGCCCCCAGATGTGGCACATCAGCCCCAGGCATTGGGAGGCCTGGCTGGCAGTCTGAAACCCGGCTCTGAGCCTGCGCTTTCATTGCAAACACCTCCAGCATCAGCAGTGCAGGAGGAAGAAGGGGGGCTGGCTTAGCTCCTCCTGGTTGATAATTCATTACCGCCTGTTAGCCTGGATCCATCCGGTAGCAGCTACATCCTGGCACTGACATGTGTTCATTTCACACATAAAATGCTGTATCAAAATGCATCATTGAGATGTTCTCCCTGAAACCTTTCCCAGCTGCCTCTCCCAGTGCTTTACATGCAGGAGCAGACTCAGCAATTGGGGCTTTTTGTTCCTAATGGATGCCTGGCACCCGCCTTAGCAATCAGAGCTGCAGGATCTGTCCTCTAGCTTATGAGAAATACAAGGGGGAATCTTTCTGCAAGGAGCAGGGAGGGAGCAAGCAGAAGGTTTAGGTTTGTACCCTTTTTTTTGCATGGCGTGCTTGGATCCAGAGAAGGAGAAGCAGCCTGTGTGCACATGGGTGGTTTATCACATACCGTTTTGCAATGATGTAGAAATGCAGCATCTCTTCTCTCCTCCCCCAAGGGCTCCGCCTTGGGGACCTGGAGGAGGCCCCTTCCCCTTTCTCCAAGATCCCTGTCTTTGGCCTGATGCTGGATGCTGTCAGCGTGGTGGTAAATCTTGCCTCCAAGATGAGTGGGGCTGAGTGGGAAAGTGCCAGGGCAGGTGGGGGACCCAAAGCCTTGCTCACACAGCAGGTCTTGGGGGTGCTCCTGCCAGCCGGGAGCCAGGCGGGGTGGAGCTCAGGATGGGTGCAGCATGGCTGCCTGTAGAACCGTGCCCAGGGTCAGGCTGGCTCTCAGAAGAGCTGGGGCTCTCCCACCAACCCTAGCCCCTTCATGAGCAGCTGTCGAGTCACAGCCAGCTTTTACGCAGCCTCAAGCCTTCTGCTGCTCTGCCAGCACACGCTTACACGCTTCTTGTCTTCATCCCTTCTCACCCTTCCCTCCAGCATTGCCCAGGGCTTTTCTTCCCCTCTGTGTCCCCCTAACATCATCTGGGGGGGCTCTGCTGGTCCGGCAGGCTTCACCCCTCACCTTGTAGGTAAAAACACAGAGCATGACCCGGGAGAGGGCAGCCAAGTTCACAAGACGCCCCCAAGACCCCTCCTGTGCCCCCTTGCCCTCTAGGCCTCCCCCCGCCGGGCCCTGCAGCCCCCCCAAGTCCCTG